ATAAACTTAAAATAGTAATAATATTATAAATCTTTATAAGATTTATTTTACAAGAAATATTTTTAATATCTAATTAATAACTTATTCTTTCTTATTAGCTAAAATATATTACTTTTATATATTTTAGAAATTTATAAATAATACTTTAGCTATAATTTTTTGTTATATTCTAAATACTAATTTAATTAATATTATAATACTAATTTTATTATAATATTATTAGTTTAGCTATAATAATTTTGTTATAATATTTATACTTGTATAAATATTTAATAAGGTTATAATATGAATGAATTAATAAATAATAATAAATAATATTCCTAATAAAAATTCACAATAATATATAAAGATTTTGAATTTTAATAATTTTATATATTTTTTATATTTTTAGTAATATATTATAAAATTATATTTGATTTTAACAATAATTTTTTTAGAAATATCTTATTTTTTAAAAATTTATAATAAATTTTCAAGTTAAAATAACTTCATTATGAATTAAATGCCTGGATTTTAGGGAAAAAAAATGCTAATTCATCAAGACATGTTTATTGATTTATAAGTCTAGAATTTTGGATAATAAAATATTAGTCAATAATACATTACACTAAAATAAGAATCTGCGAGAGCTAACAGTATAGATAAATTGCGAGTGTAAATGACAGTTAGTTGGTTAGTTTGATAAAAATTAGAAATCGAACATTATTTATTGTGATGGAGGTGGAGGTTGATTTGGTGGCGGCGGTAATGGTGGGGCAGGACTTGAAGGAGGTGGAGGTGGTGGCGCTTGCTGTTATATTATGATTGAGCAAAGTTCCTTAATTAGTAAAATGAATTTTCCTTAAAATAAAAAGGAATTTTAAATTATACGTACCCATGCACGCGTAGAGGGTGGTGGCGGTGGATATCCTGCTGCTGCTGCCGCCGTTGGATATGCATTATATCCATAAGAAGCAGCGGTACTATAAGCAGCATATCCATAGCTTGTAGCAGTAGTAGGCGCTGCATATGAAGATGCGACCGGGGGATAGGCAGAAGCAGTTGTTATAGGTGCATAAGCTGAAGAACCGGGAGGTGGCATTGGAGGTGGATAAGTTGATTTCACACCAGCCCAAGGTGCATTAGTACTCGTGGGGGTAGTAGGCGATAAGCCTGGTGGGGGAGGCGCAGTTGACAATCCTATTTTCAAAAAATAAATCTTAATTTAGTCGTCAATTTCTATTAATATTATAACAAAGAGAATTATAAAATTACCAGGTGGAGGAGGCACAGCTTGCATTGTAGTCCCTTGCTGCCACGGTGGCAAAGATGAAGATGTTCCAGGTGGAGGTAGTGGTGTTGTTGGTTTTGCCACCCAAGGCGGGGCAGTGACAGAGGTTGGAGAAGGTTGTGCAGCCCACGGAGGTTTAGAAACGCCTGTAGGACCATAATGCCCCTACATAAAAGAAATCAGTTTAGTATCTCTATACAAAAATACATTATCAATTTAATATATAAACTTACAGTCCTCGCCACTTCGCCCGTCTTTGATGCGTCAACACTTTCACCCAATTCGGCCATTAGACTAAGATATTCACTATCCAACTTTTGATCACGTTGCTTAGCTTGTTGCAAAGCTTCAGGATTATTTCGTTCCATACAATCCCTGGCAGTGTGACCATGGCCACCACAAATGCGACAAGTTAGATTGATCGTGAAATTTTGTGTTTCGGAGCATTCATATTTACGATGTCCAGTAGCACCACAATTTGTGCAAATCTGATTTTCATCATCGCGAAGGGTACCATTCAGTGCAGCTAATTCGCGTAATTGTTGACGTTTGAGCTCGTTTTGACCTTCCGGAACGGATGCAGACTATAGATAAGAAACGGTTAATAATTAAAATTTTCAAAAGGTGATTTGATTCATTAACTCTATTTATTCTTACCGTTTCAATTATTTTATTGATCATTTTCACAGCTTTTGCGACTTTTTCTTCGGCATCAGCAGTAACCAAACAATGTAAATCTTCTTCCTGATTCGCACTTGCGGCAGCATCAGTTCTGCTTTTGCCTTCCTTAACACTTCCCCGACCACGAATACTAATTTTAGCACCAGATTCGGATTCCATCTTTTTTAGAGTGTTGCCACGAGGCCCAATTAACAGACCAATAAAATTTATTTCCGGAAATTCCTTTGCAGGGATATAGACTTTATCCTGAACTTTTGTTGGCCGTTTATAATCCGCTGGTGGTTTGAAATCGGGATTTCTTTTAACAGCCTCCTCAATTAAACGATGACGTTCGTCTTCGAGCTTCTTTCTATACCGATATTCTCGAGTGTTTACACGTTTTCCTTGAATATCGTAGATTGGCTCGGGAGATGGAGATCTAAATCAAAGTTAATTGAGAAATTATTGATAAAATTTCGATAACATCTATACACATTAGGGAAATGATGACTATACCTTTCACGTTCTGGCGGAACATAATCCCCCGTCCTCAATTTCCTTCCAATTTCTTCCAATCTCATATGCACTGATGAAATTCACGTTAGTACTAAGCACTTGTATATAATTTATTTGTAGGAGATATATGAATTTCACTTACAAAGATATGTATCCAGTTGCTCTTTAGTCATATTAGCAGTGATGGCAGTTGGCAGTCCCGGGATATTCACCTTCGATTCTTCACCACCCCACCGACTACGTCTTTTTCGCTTTCGGTCTTCAGTTCCATCTGAAATGATTCCAGTTAGTGTTGAAGAGAGGAAAACGGTAATTTGTATAATTATCGATGATGATGAGCAGTTAGATTGTTAAAATTTGAGATGCACACGAGAGTTAGGATAAAAATAAGATGATGAAGGGCAAACGCAATTTTAGATGCTGTGTTAGTAATCAATTTCTCAATAGAAAAAAAGTAAAGATAGTAAATAGTTTTTTTGTCCTGTCATAGCTGTAACCAACAAGCGAAAGTCAGTCACAACGAGAGCAGTTAAACTAAACAGGGAAAGCAAACAAATTATATAATTGATCTGTTATGTATATTAATAATTAATGATGATACGGCAATGGTGCCATAATATGCGAGCTAATGAACAAATTAATAAGTAGAAAAATGCTGCGCCGTAGGATATTAAGCATAAAAGGAAATACTTAAAACCTGAACGCAGAATTATACCTGTTTGTTGGTCTTCCGATTCTGATTTCACTCTTTTCAAAGAGTTCATACCCACGTTATTACTGTTAAACTCCGTACTTGATTGATTTTTGTCCCGCTGTTCATACGGCTCAGACTTGACATATGTCTCCGAGGCTGGATAAGGATTCGTAGCAGAGACGTTATAATTATAGTTACTATTGTTATTATTGTTACTGCTGGTATTGTTGTTGTTTTGTTCCCAAGACTCATAGTTTTCAGTTTTAATTTCTGGTTCGTCAGAAGTTGAGCTTCCGATCCTTCGCTTGCCAAGCGGAATGTTATTAGTACCGGTGATTGAAGGTTGCTTCCACATTGGTTCAAGTGGACTAATGTCAAGAAATTATCGATTGATATGGTAAAAAAACTTTATATACTTTTTCACGTGCAAGTAACACTCATGTGATTTGTGTTCTGGGGATTGAATTTCTGCAAGTTTCAAATGATAGTTTTGAAGAATCTTTTCGTAAAGTTATTCAATACGGATCATTTTCTTCTAGTAAGAAGTCTGATTTTATCTTGACATTATAAACAGCTACATAATACAAATATACCGTGGGAATCAAAAATAATACAATACTTGAGTTTTTACTAACTACTTAATAAGTTTTTTAAATTTTGCTAACATTTTTTTATTTTTGATTCAAATTAGAATTTTAATAATAATTAGTAAAAATTAATATACAATTAGATCAATTCTTTCTTTTTTTATTAATTAACTTAGTTCACTGTATAATTAATATAATTAATTATATTAAGCAAAAATAAAATTTGAATCATAAGAATCTTGCATTGAAATTTCATATATGTTTCATGCTTATTTTCTCTGAATAACAGATGAATTAGACATATGATACAGATTTTAACAATATTCAGATATAATATATTATTGATCACCTCTCTAAAGTCACATTTCTCTAAATGCATCTTTTTGAAATACATATCTCCTTAAAATGCATCTTTGGTTCTGCATTGATTATACATACATTAAGCATTTTAAGAATTTAGATTGTTTATTGAATTTTAAAAGTGTCCGGGATTATAACTTATTCAAACTTTGTTTTTAACAATGAAAAAAAGAAGGAATCACTTTTTGGCTTTAAATAATAATATTTTTTTATATGTGCATATTCTCTTGTAAAAAGCATCCTACGTGTCATTCTCATCTTATAAATGACAATTAGAACAAATTTTACTAACGCTAACGGTGTCATTTATTTTAATAAGAAATGTTTATTGAGATCTTTTGTTTATAACGATAACGATAAGTGTTATAAGAAAGTCAATCTACGATTCTATAGTCATTCAGGAACAAACAATTTGACTATTTTTATTAGTTGTGTATATATACAATGTAATATAAATAATTACAAATTCCTTCCAAACGTGGAATCTAATTTTAAGGGATTAATGAGTTGGCTGACGTTTGATTAACAGCTTAAAAGTGCATTAAACTATAACGGAGCATATTTTCGTTGGCAAATATATATATATATATCGAGAAAGGGATATATATATATAGACTATAAACTGTGTGTATACAAGGCTACGAGATGTCACAAAACATTTTCCATTAGAGTACAAAGTGCTTTTTTATGTATACATTTTTTTTTAAATACATCTTTCATTAGAGCAAGCTCAATAGCAGCATTCTTTAGAAGTCTCGTAGCTTTTTTACTTGGGATACAAAGGTAAACGTCTATAAAAGATAGCTCTCTTTGTGAGACTGCACCTATTTTTTTTAAACTTAATAAAATTGTTACATTTTCCACTCTTCATTCACATAGTGTCAAAATAAAAACCTTTTCACATTAAATAAAAATGTGGGCCTGTTTCTATAAAACCTGTCCGTGTTTACCGCGTCGAGTAGATACACAGCCTCCCTTTAACGGTTACTCGTATGATGAAGCGGACGATGACGTGGGACTTGAAAGCTTGCTGTCACAAAACGATCCCAATTACATATCAGCAGTTTTGACACGTACACCATTTCAAAGAGCGACAACAAACACGCAAGGTTATTTGCGGGTGAGCACCATGAGTCCAGACGAGAATATTAGTGGTGCTGCTTCCGATCGTGGTAGCGTTTTGCTGGACGACGAAGCTACCATACAAACACAAGACGCACAATATCTTCCTGATGAACAAATTAGTAAATTGACCGAACTTAATAGTGAACAGGTACGCACACACATATCATCTAGGGAAATTGATGAATTAAATTTTGTTTGTTCAAAGTTGTAGCATTTGATTATAATTTTATCATTCATGAATAAACAATTTCGTGGATTAGTCAAAATATGATCTTCTTACGGATGACCAACTTGCTGCCCAAGAGGAAGAAGTAAGACGTGAAGAAGAAGAAGAGATTGAAAGAAAACGACAAGCTGGTATTCAAGCAGGAATTGCGAAAGGGCTGATTCCAGTAAACGGAGCAAATGGACATAATAAGAACACATTCTTCACTATTACCGATGAAGACGAAGAAGTTGAAACAGATGAATTTGGAAATCCGTCTGGAACAATATATGATGCAAAAAAATATAATACCACAACAACCCTCGAATTATCGTCAACCAATATCTCTGGTACTATGACAAGTCAGGATGGTACTACTGTAATTACAACCAATAATTTCACAACACCGACATCTCGAAAATCTGAAGAACAATCTATTTTAAATAAACCGCGTAATCCACCGCAACGTTTATTTTCCTCGGAAATAGAAGATTATGAACATGTAGATGAAAATATTGATTCGTAAGTATTTTTTTTTTTCTTACTTATGGGAGAATATTATTGTAAAATAAGTTTTGGATTAAATAAAAATAATTATCACAATATCCATATTCAAAAATATTATATATGTATATATACGATAATTATTGATAAAAATAAATAACTAAAAATAAAACACAATTATTGCTATAATAAAATGTATACAATACAAATAAAAAAAACTACTGAAAAATATAATACTGACTATAGGCCGCCCACCAATTCCAAAGATCAACCGCCGATTTTGCCGGAAACTCCTCTGGTTCCTCCGTTGTCCGTTACCATTCAAAACGAAGCATAATACGTCATCACCAACAAAAGATGGAAGACTATTCACCATTTTCAGCAAGTATACTAAATCCTAACGAATATGGGAGTGAGAATGAGGATAATAACAATATTGGTAGTAGTAATGATAGTCCAGTTCTGGGAGATGACGAAATATATCACCCTTTTCTACACATTATACCCGATTTATCTGACACAGTGGGTTTTTTTCTCTCGGGTCTGACAAGCTTAAGAGATTACAACAATAGAACAGATCAAGAACAAGAAGGAAATGATCTTGAAGACTTGGGTAGAAAAAATAGAATTTTATAAGGAGGATTATACACGTGTCAATAGACATTTACAAAAATCTATGTAATTAAGATTTATTTTTAATATAGACGGACAATAATCCTCTTTTTAATAATTTCATTTATGTATTCTCCCTTGACAATCATTATTGTTTTAATAATTGTATTTATTTTAATTAATTAATTAATTATTTATGATCAATCTTATTATCTTTTTTTTTACAAATTATATACGCACACATTCCTCATTTTTTATCCTTTATCCTCTTCTCTACTCTACCTTATTTCCAATCGTAACCACCACTATTTATCCATATATATCATCATCTTACTGAATTTTGGTAGCATAGAATTCCATCTTTTTTGGACCATGACAAAAAAATGTAGTTAATTTTTCTTTGGGATGGGATAGACGTGATGCGATTTGTGAAAAAAGAGCGGACAAAAAAAAAGTTTTGTCATCTATTTGATTTGATGATGAATTTTTTGTTGTATTATTATTTTACTTTTTATATATCTATGTGATTTTACTTCAACCTTTCTCTTTTTCTCATTTACTTTATGATTGTCAGAGAAAAAGTGTAGAAATGATTCTATGTGTATATGAATAAAGTTTTATCAATGCTATGTATATGCTATTTACATGCGCGTCTTCATGCATTTACATGGGTTACACATACGTTTAAAAAACCACGGGTTTAATTAATTCTCTGTGTTTTGGTATCGGTATTTTCATCAACCGGAGAATATATTCCACAAATTTCACGTGACATTCCAAACAAGTAAAGAGAATGTCGTCAAACACCTACTGTAACGAAATGGAACAATAGAACCGAAATCAACACATCATCATCGTAATCGCCATCTTGCATAGTTGTGCTTAATTTTATCAGACGCAGCACCACAAGACCCATATACTTTTTTCTTTGCTTCGCCTTTAAAAAAAATAATAGGTATAGTGACAATAAAAAAATATATATTATTAGCAGTGAAAGTATCCGCCACTTATCAAAATAATTATATTACATCTAGATAGATAAATAGATATATATATATATATATATATATATATATGTCATTTGCATATTTATTATTACATATAAGACATACAATCACATATATACATATACACTTTGGTGGTGTTAGTCAACTCGCGCAGAAAAAGTATAGAATTTGACCATTTAATTTGATAGTCTATATATATATATATATAAATAAAAAAAGAGAAGCCGAAAAGGTGTTGTTAAATAATTTATATTATAGCAACCGTGTAATTAATAATAATAAAAGTTTATAATAATAGTGATTAAACAAGAAGAATGTCGCGGACATCGGTGCAACCACAGTCACCGCCACCATCGCATTCTCATCCCCTAAATTCAGATAATACTTATCCTGATACTAATACTTCAAAAAGCACAAAAACATCAACAACGGTACCTGAGCAAATGGTCGTTAAGCAAGAACCAGACCTAGGCGACTTTGGAAGTCCCATCTGGCAATATCTCGAAATACAGAAAGAAAAGTGGAAGAATTCTTCTTGTAATTCAAATTCCAAAACGACAAATAAGACACAAAGTAAAACCGCCACCACTTCCACAACGACAACTCTCGTTGATCTCTCGGACGTATTGAACTCCGGTTCCCCGATTATTAATGGCAACACAAGTAATAATAAAAGTAATAAAAATCTCATTAAACAACCTCCTCTCTTACCTCATTCCTCATCCTCTGAATATTCATCGGAGGAAGAATTATTACTTGCTGGTCATCATCATCTTCTTCATAACACGCCCAAAGTTGTTATGCAACAGGCGAAAAAGAAGAAAGTAACATTCTTGGTTCTCCAACCTAATACCAATAAATCGAACGATAAAAAGACTTTGAAAAAGAAATCCTCTAAAGCCAAGGTAAGGATTTCTTCGAGCATTAAGGAGAAATCGGTATGTTTTCATGTGATCTTTATCTTCTTCAAATAATTTCTTGAATAGAATGAACGCTAAATGAATGATTTATATCTCGATATAAATTTTCAATGTAAATAGAATCATGATGCCAAAGACATCCATTTTGAAGATCAATTGACCAAGGAAATTATACCGAATAACAATGGCGGTAATAATAATGTCCTCGGAAGGGAGAAACTAGCGACACCAATAAAGCAGAGGATACCAATTCCGATCTCGATTTCTACGGATCCAATTCACGTTTTCGTTGATAATTCCAACATTTTGGTGGGATTCCTGGCATATTGTCGTGAAAAGAAAATCGCTCAGATTAATGCTCATGGTGTGGAATCAGTATCACATTCAAATCCTAGACCACAAATAGATTATGAAGCTTTATTTACGATTCTTGAGCGAGGAAGGAAAACTGAACGCAAAATTTTAGTTGCCTCTTCCCCATTGTATCAAAGTCTTGAAATAGCTGAAAATGGGGGATACGAGGTCTCGGTGCTTCGTCGTGTGAAAAGGCCTATTGATAAGCTTATTGATCCTACAATCAATGAAGATTCGGTTTCGAATACTTTTCATAAGCAAGAATTACAACAGCCACAAAAACCACCACGCATGGCTGCTGCAAAATCAAACGAGATGGAAAAAGAACAATGCGTCGATGAGCTTCTCCATCTTAAGATTTTGGAGTCCTTACTCGACTACTCTGCACCAACCACTTTAGTCCTGGCCAGCGGTGATGGTAAAGATTCAGAGTATTTTCAGGGAGGGTTCCACAAATGTGTGGTGAGAGCCTTGGAGCGAGGATGGAAGGTCGAGGTTATCAGTTGGCAACGTCAATTAAGCCATAATTTCTTGGACAAAAAGTTCTTGAAAAAGTGGGAGGGTCGTTATTATGTTGTCTTTTTGGATTGGTTCGCAAAAGAACTTGGAAGCGAATTCTAAATCTAAATCGCCGTCATCTTTTTAAATTTTTGCATAAATGGCTTAAATAATTTATTCATTCATGTTGTGGGAAGGACTCGTTCAGTTGTCTTTGAACGAAACATTTTCAATTTCGACAACGAAGCAGAATATGACGACGAGATTCATTATTGGACATTTTTATCCTCATCTCTTTTGTATATCAATTAATACTTATAAAATAATGCATTCCTGCATACATAATACCAAAAAAAAAATTGGACTCTGAATTCCGGATTTCTTTATACCTTTTTTTTTATATAGATTGCACATATCTTTTATTCTACTTCTTCACTTTCTCCTATCCTTTACTCTTTGCATTTGCTCTACAAGAAATCCTTTTTCATTTTTATATATATGAATCAATATATAAAAATTTCCATTAATCTAAATTCCATTAATCTTTTCTTTTGTATAATTTTTTTTAATTGTGATAGAAAACATCATCAATTTTTTTTTCTCCTGTCTTCACATCATCATTCCTTCTAACAGTATGTTGTTATTCTGATCATTAGAAACCATCTTCAATCAATCTTCACAAATTATAAATTTTCAGTATAATAGTAATGATAATACTATCCTTTATTGGTATAAACAGAAACCTGTAAATAAATTCAAGAAATAATTTTACCCTTTAATAATAAGTGTGTAACAAAAAAAAACCGGATATTTTTTTATGCGACGTAAACGTTTGTTTTCTGGGAGATGTAAAATGGAACATAAACATGATAATCAGGAGTATATTTGACCGTTGTTTACAACCCTGATTCTTAACATAACTTTTATTTAATATACAGACACAATGCCCGCTTCTGAGCAAGAAACATAACGTCAATGTACATCACATTTGTGGAATGAGGGTATTCGCAATGGCCAATAAATTCATCGCCAAACAAACATCCCCCTTTCCACCGTTTATGATAACATAAAAAAAATTAAAGAAAAAGGAACAGCGGATCACGCGCGAGGAAATGGTCGTCCCAGGAAAATAACCGGCAGAAACTCCAAGATAATCGGACAGTCAATACGCAGAAATGACTCAATATCCACGCGAACTTTAGCTCGTAAAGTGTCAAATACGGGTGTTGATGTGTCGCACATGACAATTTCGAGGCACCTGACCACTTATGGGTACTCGAAAGCATCGCCTAAAGCAACTCAACTCTCTTGCAAAATCATTTTTATAAGGTTCGAAATAGTAGAAGTAACATGGTTCCCATTTCTAATCATAGTTTTGAGTGCTCCGATAGTTATTGTTGGATTAACATTACCAAGTTCAAAAATTCCACCACCATTGATACGAAAATTGATATTATTAGCCATTTCTGTGTTTCCTATTATGAAAAACCCCCATAGTTAGTGAAACGTTATTCTCATAAAAGAAAAAGTAAAAAGTGCATTATGTCCTGAAGCGCAAAGTCTTCAACTTATAGCATATTCAATAAACAATACATTACTTGAGAATAAATTGCTTATTACTAGCCTGCCCCACGATCTAAAACCTGTTTATTTATACTGCCTCATTCTATTAGAATTGAAAACCCTGCTAAAAAGAAATTACACGATTAGTAATTACGTTACCCTAACAATGCCAGATCCCACCAACTCCTTAAGTTCCAAATACTAAATATATTTTGCCATTTTTCATTTTTCTGGTGAAATTAAACCTCAGTTTCAACGATCGTTTAAAATAGGCTAGATCTTGACGATCTCGGAGATGGCAAGTTCCTGAATTTTGACAAAACTACGAATGCGGGTGACAAAAAAATCACGACTTTATAACCTTATAGCTGACGCATATAGAGGTCCACTAAAGCAGGGTAGTTTCACGTGATTTAGAGATTCAAGCAGGATTCACTCAATCCTGATCATGTGA